AAGTCGCAAAATTCCTCCTGTCTCCACTGCATTCGCAAAACCAATCACGGAAGGATAGGATACGGAATGGTCAGTTGAGATGGCATCCAGACCGATTCCAGCGGGTGTTGAAGAGGGTGAAGGAAGAGGACAAGCATATGGTAGCAGATGGCGTTGGCATTATATCGAGATGCCTCAACGACATGATGGCCCGGGAGAAGAATGCTCATAGAGTGAGTTTTACCGTTAGAGCACGGAGAATATTCTAACCCGCAATTACAGTAATCTCGAAAATTTGGAATGCAAGCGGGACTTGCACGATCGCGGGGACTAATAGGTATCAGAAGGTGTCTTGAAGAATAGCTGTAAATTAATACCTTTGTGAACAATATTTTGTAATAATTAATTCTTTACTGTACCTAGTCACATACTATCAACATACTATGGCATTCCAGAGAGGATTCCGGTCGTCCAATGATGAGATAAAACTTTCCTTGGTTCTTGCGGTGAATCGTAGTTGGGCTTATTATGCATTAAAAATATTTCAACGCGATCCAATCTGGAAACTGAGCGCTGCAGAATGACGGAGATGATGGTTGTAGTTGGCGTGAGAAAGCGTCAGACTCTTTTCTTCCAAATTTCGTTCGTGCTCATCGTACGTACATAGAGTATTGCTCCTTCAACAGCACCAGGCACACGGGAATTTTGCGCTGCATGCTCTGCGCTAGATGTAATCTCGATGTAACTTCGAATTCTCAAAGCCACACCAAAATTTCAGGCGAGTCGGAGACGAGCTTCGTCGAATGGCTATATCTACTCAAACGAAAAAATAAAACACATTACCACCACAATCGCAGAAGCTGATGGATCTAGCACGCTTCGACTTGGAAATCGCGCGCCTTCGAGCTACTCTTGAAACTATGGAATCTCATAGAGCTTCTATCCAGTATCCACTGTCCAGCTCTACCGTGACCAGAACGTATCTCTGATCAGTCCTGTTCGAGAACTGGTAGTAAAGATTCTTTTCCAATGTGTACGCCTCCGTAGACTCGTATGGCCAATGAAAACGCGTCGTCACGGTGTAGCCTCTATGTTGATCTACACAATTTCAGTCTGCCGCACTTGGAGTACCCATCTAGGATAACGGATGCGCCTCTAAAGATTCATGCCATTGCTACGCATGATATAGAGGAAACTAAATGCACACCAGTATGCTTACGATTTGCCTGGCTGTGGTTAGGAGTTATGTATGACACTCCCTAATGAAGGAGTGCAGCTGCTGGCTGGATGCCACTATCGAGCTACCTTCTTTTCTTTTCTGGGTCCAAAGCTCCAGAGTCTAAAGCTGCGATAGAGTCCGTATGAGGCTTGATGTGATAATGAGTCTTGTCCACCGATATTTTTGCTGTTTTCTTGCCTCAGTTACCTTATAATGCTTATATCTCCTTACCCGATTAAATTGATTCACCCCTTGGTACCAGCCAAATTCGGAGCTACCATCGAGTGGAATGATGTCCCGGCAGTCCAAATCCGCGGAAACCTTCCTTCAAGTTCATACTACTATTCGTGGACTGCCTTCTCGACAGTCTGATGCGACGCTCAGGCGATCCCAACATGCACACACTCGAGAAAGTGATCCTGAACAGATGTATAAATCCTGATTTTCACGAGGTAGAAGAGCTTGATTGTGGTGTGAATGTCGAGTGGGATAAAAAACTTGAGGTTTAGCAGGGGAGGCAAGAAGAAATTGTTCGGTTGGTCATTAAATTTGTGCCTCCAGAAGCTCAAGTCGGCGCAAATGAAATTTAGTTCTGCTTGATATAAAAATTTCCCTTAGTAATTATAACGACTCGGAGCGGAGAATACTCATCGAGCGGGTCAAGAAGCGAATTATCCTGAGGTAATAAGAGTATGCATGTATATCTGTCCGCTTCATTTCTTCAATTATTTCTTTGATCTTCACTGGAAACATAATATTTACTCAACACTTCATAGGGTTGATCCTTTCACCGAAACATGTGTGCATTGCCATATCTTACCTAGGATCACAGATCAATGGATTATAACAGTTGAATGCGTCTCTTCAAGAGAAATGAGCTTGCGTCAAATAAAAGTGATTTTGATTAATTGCTTTGTGCAAACATTCAGAATTTGTGAATTACGTAAATATCAAAGCGAGTTATATCAAGCGTTTAAGGGCACACAAATTCCATTTACGAAATCCCGTTATGATTTTCAGCCCTAATAATTATAGATAAATAGACTAAATAACGCCATAGCCATACACAACTTATTTGATATGCAGTTCCTCCTTCACCGACTTTGAAAACTTTGCACTTGGTCCTTGGGTGTCACTTAGAACCAGAGCTTTCTTATTCGCCGGTGGGAATGCCGTGCAGGGGAGACGGTGTACCTTGACTTTGATGAGATGTGCCGCAAGTGCAGATTCAGTTACGATAGCGTATTGATAAAAGTTTGGGGCAACATGAACTGCGAGTGTGGAGATGGTGAATCAGTTATAATAGAGAAGATCCAGAGAAACAACGCTTACCTCCGTCAGTAAGAACTGGCATAGGTCTGGAGATAGTAAAATCAATTCCCAGTCACTCTAGCTCACTCAGCCTTGGCTATACATACCCATTAAACATATCGTACCCTTCTCCCATCTTCTTGATTTTCTCCTTGTAGGGAGTCGAGTGCGCCATTGACTCCTTCCGAGACTTTGCGTTAAAACTTTCAGTAGTTTTTGCCGTGAGTGAGTTTGCGGAACAGACAGCGACAAACTATATGAAAGAATTATAAGTAAGCTCCGAGTCTGACCACAACCTGGAATTCTCACGTCGTCATAATCCTCTTTCTTCCATTCATCGTAATCCTTGACTTTGGCACTATAAACGGTCGTTTTATTAAATTGCCGCTGACCATCACCGGTAAACTTAAATATGTACTCACTTCGTTCCATCCCATTCATACTCTACAAAGACTACAGCAGCTCAGAAATAGAGAAAAAGGATCCCGACACTACCACTAACCAAAGATAACAGCAAAAGCCTCAGCGTCCTTTTTATCCTCTATTAATTTCGCGTTCGCTCTCTTTTGGTTGCATGCAAACTGACCCGCGGCCCTCAGAGAGTCGGTAAGGTAAAATCCACCTGCATGGTTGCAAGTCAAAATTTGGTGGTCACCGACCAAATGAACTGACCAGCTGCACTTAGATCTCCACGTTGATTAGGATTCATGATTTTAGGGCCTTTTTCAAGCTCGCCTTTCTCTTGATCTGTCGTTCCATGGTACAGCGTTATTTTTTCCTTGCCAGATAGGTGAGTAGGGAAAAATCGTAGCGCAAGCTGAGCAAACGAATGTCAAAAGGGAGCTGCAGAAAAGAGGACATTGCGCACCTGTGTCGCATCAGCTGGGGCCGCGTCGGAGTAAACTGAAAGGAAAATCAAAGCTAAAACTTTGATGGCGATCATCGTGGAAGTCGAGAAGACCATGAGTGTAAAGTGAATGAATTAAAGTGGTCTTTCGACGTGGTATGTGGAGAGAGAGAGAGAGAGAGAGAGAGAAAGATATCCAAGCTATTGATTAGCCGTTGCAACATAAATACTACTTATACATACCGAGAAGGTTTTAGTTGTGGATTATACTTTCGATATTATCACCAGGATAAGCAGTCAGGTGTAAGACCGAAAGCCAGTTCGATGCAGGATCCTTGCCATGCTAAGGCTCTTTTATAACCGTCCATCCGGATCCCGGTGTCGCGCTTCCTATGATTTTTGCAAATTCGGCTCGATCTCATCAAACAAACCTTACGTGCATCCTGCTGCATCGTTCGCGTGTTCTGTTCAGATGTACATCAATAGTTTAGCCGTGTAATTATTACATAGCCTCTGACCCTGCAAATCGAGCTTTGGCTAAGTTGATACTTGATAGACTCGGAGGGACACGAGAGGCATTTCGGCATGTCTTCTTAGTTCTTTTCTGGCTTACATACTCATGCTTGAAGAAGTCCACCTACATCTTTTGATTTACCAACTGAATAAACATACCCTACTTGTGTATAAAGACTGGGCGGACTGAAGAACAGCGAACCAAAGAGACGGCATTGGAAAGTTGGATCATTTTACGCTTTAGACTGCAGAGCTTAAAGCGGCGTACCGAAAATGTACTAGTCAGTGAATGCGTTGAGGTTCAAGCGGGTGTAATTTATGATGGTGCACTGGTAGTAATAAATCATTGCACCCTCCTCGTGAGACTTCAACTTGAATCATCTCTTCAGATAATGTCTGTTCCTAAGCATTTCCGTGCTGCGACAATTGAACATCATTCCCTCGTCCGTTAACAAGATCGATGCGCACTGCACAGCGTCTGGCGAGTCCCCATGGTCCAGTGTTGCTCCCTTGTGTCACTATCGTGTGTGTACCGAATCACTCCTCTATCAGTATTTTATCCCGAGGTCAGCCGTTCGAGTAGGCTAGAGGGAACTTTGATTCTTCACTTGCGAGATTTTATTCTCTCTACTTTTTATTGAGTTTTGAAGTTTTCCCGTGTCCGAATCGTCACGCTGAGTGTCGAGTAAGAGAATCAAGGATTCACCACCCACAAACGCACCCATCCACGAACACACTCATGTCCTCGGTCTGATTCTCGGTATACTACTACTGTCCTGTCCTGTCAGTATGTCTAATTTCTAATGCCGTCTAGTGCGAATAACTTTCCAACCTCCTACCTCCTTCTTACTTAGCTCAGTTTGTAATGTAGCAATGCCATAGAACAATGCCTAATGACGAGGTCAGTCGTTCAAGTCGGCTAGAAGAAATGACCCAATTGGGTCGTCTCAATTTCAAATTCAAATCAAGTAGATTCATTTATTCACTCCCCTCGAGCACATCCACTAATGCATTCACCTTCTCAGTCTGAGCCCAGGACCAAGGACCAAAGGGTACTTGGTACGCAGCTACTACTGCTGTTCTGTCAGTATGTCTAATGTCTAGTGAATCACCTGAGCGATCTTCCCAATATCATTCTTAGCTCTAGTTGGTAGAGCGCGTCACTATTATATAGTTGCGAACACTGTATATGACGAGGTCAGTCGTTCAAGTCGGCTAGAATGTGCTCTTGAGATTACCTAATTTTTTTCCGTGTCAGAACGATGCTTATACTCTGTAAGGACAGGTTAGATTGATTCACTAACGCCTGGTACGTTCGATTACTTACACTGTGCTTTGCGCTCGTACTCAGAGTTAATGAATAAATACTGTATACTGTAGTATAGAAGGCACTGTGTTTTTTTTTTGAGAAGAAAAGATCATCCTGATGACATAAGATTTTCTGCACTTGCTTCTCTCTCTTTTCCGTGTCGTTACAAGTAAGCAAATTTATTCACTCACCAACCTCCTCGATTACCTGTTATGTTCAATTACTTACACACAAGTACAACTTCTCTGTGTTAAGTTCTGTTGGCACTCGGAGCTCAGAGTTGAAGGAATACTGTATTACTACTACATCATACCATTGCTAGTACTACTACTTGTACTGGTACCATTTCGACCGAAAGTTCAGCGATATTTAGCGTTTATCTTGGTCGGCCATCCAGTTCAGCCAAGTGCGTTACGCGTTACGGTATGCAAGCTCAGTTCAGTGTACCGCAGGCACCAGAAAATTTTTATACATCTTAATTGATTTGTAGAGTGTGTTGCCGCTGTCTGATCTCAACGGATGCGGGAGATGATTCCTCAGCCCGAAATACCTATATAAAGTAGCATTCCGGTCTATCTGAGACCGAGTTCAGAGCCCTCTGTTACGCGCTACATGGAAACATTGGCAGTTCAAAGGGGTAGTGTTACGCGTTACTGAAATTTCTGTCGAAATGGTACAGTACTGCACAGTACTGTAAGATCTAGATTTGATCAGACTCTTGTCAGTGTGTTTATTCACTTCCCAACCCCAATTCCTTCTTAGCTCAGTTGGTAGAGCGCATCTTCAGTATACTTATGACGAGGCCAGTCGTTCAACTCGGCTAGAAGGATTGCAAAGTAACCGTCGTCGATGTAATTTGTTTTTTTCAAGCACAGAGTCCTAAGTATATGATACGATACATCGCATATATGAAGAAAGAAACGATACTGACACCGCTGTCAGAAAAGCGAAAGCGGGGCCATACTACTACCCAGAACCCGGACAAGAGAATAACGATGAAAGAGAGAACTACAAACAAAGGATCACTGAGGGTGATCTACCTATCCGACGACTGTTGCCTAAACGCAATGTTGTCACTCAACGCTCGAAGATCAAGATTGGAGAAAAAATGCTTACTTGTTGCAGAGCGACAAAGGTTTGAGCTAAGATACGACCGTTCATTGTGGCTCCAGTTTCGAGCGTAACGGCCGTCTTTGCGAGAATGACACCCTCAATGTGGGCGCCGGCATCAGCGGTGACGGCGCCAGTGACAACCCAGAAGATATTGGAAGCGAGAGCACCTCCGACGAGGGTAACACGGGCGCCGGCCGCGAAATTGAGAGTTCCAGCGATCTGGAAGACAAAGACTTTGGTACAATGTCAGCAAAGATAGATGACAGGCGTAAGGTGTAAGGACTTACCATCGGCAGAGGTTCCAGTAATGATGACACCAGCTGAATTGATGCTGACTGCTGAAGTCCATTTGTAGAGCGCAGGTGTGAGTACACGGCCGCCGATTGCGCCTGAAATCACCAGGTAAGATCAATGAAAGACCTATAATGTATAAATACGTACCACTAGCAAGGTTAGTGAATCCTGGATTTACAAGACCATTTGCATTGGTGAAGGCTGTCTGCATGTTTGAGATGGCAGTCGTCAAGGTCGAGGGAGTAGGAGCTGCATAAGATGCGGCGAAAAGTTCGCCTGTGACTTGGCTCGATCTAGAAAACGCTCCGCCCGGTGCAAGAGTGAGCGAAAATCCAGTCAAAGCATTCGCTGCTATAGGGCTAACCCCGACGTTTCCAGCTATACGGTGTTGAGAATCAAGCTACAAAGGCGCAGCACGATCGGCTCACTAATGGAAGACGGGGGAACAGTTGAAACACCCGACTTGGAAAGAATGGCATAATTAGCTGCGGTGCCGAGGACGATGGGAGCTGGTCCTAGATTGATGGCTCCTGGTGCTGCTCCTACACTGAGGAACGACGCCTGAAAGTAGCACAAATGTCAGGATGTAGGAAGTAAGAGGTGAAAGAAGCAACGAAGTAGAGCTTACCCAAAGGCTGAGACAGACGATTTTGTTAAGGGCAGAAAGCATTTCAGAGAGTTGTTGAGAGGATATCTGGAGGCGAAGATGCTGAAGAAAGTATTCTACATGGCTGCAGTTTTTATAGACTTTTGACCTTGCCATATCCGTCTCTCAACCTCGTCATAGTTCAGCATGTTGCAAGAATGATACATAGTTGGTGGCACTGAAAACAATCGAAAAAAAGCCCTGAGCAGAGTCACAGCAATGTTTTGCCTAATGCGCAGTTTCTTAACTCTGGCTGTGATGTTTATAATGCGTAGGACGGCATTGAAGAGGCGGAACGAACCAAGTGAAAGGGATGGCTGCAATATGGTTACCCTAACAGTGGACGGCGGTTTGTCTAGGAGCAGGAGAAAGGACGAAAGTCTGACAGAAGAGGAACGTCAGTCAACAAGATAGAGTCAGTCAGAAGGGGTGTTAGTCAGAGAAGACCAAGACATTCGTAGCTTCTCTGGAGCAAGGGATAGCTCTGGACTCTGGAGATCGCCCGCGGTTTTGCTGATGAATTTGTTCTGTCAATACGTACTCGACTTGTTAATATTCGTCGACGTCTATCCTATATTGTAGGTAATTTAAGCAAGCTATTCTATGAATGAAGTTTGTACACTGTACATGAAGTGGCAGTGAGAGCCTGCCTCATGTAAAGGATGGCTGAAGTTTTAAGCCCTCGTCCAGGAGCAGGAGAGGCCAGGCTAAAAACATCACAACTTACGTTGGCGTAGCACTTGAACGATAGCATACAGTCAACTCCCGCAAGTGTTCTCTTTATTTCCGGTTGAGAGCGACATTGCAAATGGAAGTCTAACTTGAACATATGAATTTGAACATATGAACTCTTGAACATATGAATTTGAACATATGAACATGAACATATGAACCGATTCATCGGCGAAAAAACGGTAAGAGAGACATGTGTTCCCGAGATGAAAGGAGTGCGACATGAATACTAAAAGCATCCTAAAGGCTTTAGCATATACACGAGACCAAGAGATACGCTGTCGATGACGAACCTTTGTATCTAACTAGAACCAGCTTTCGCATCGGCGATTACCCCTTCGCGTGAGCTTCGACTGATCAAAGACGTGTTCCCGTGATTGCCTGGCTATCATGGCTGCATCGGTCTCGAGTGAGCGCATATTCAAACGCCGTATCCGACTCAAGGGTAAAGCAGCAAATCACTGAAAAGGGTAATAAGTTCAATCAGTCTCGAAGTGGAATGCAGAAGAGTAGAGCTCAAATGTAAACCTATTTCTTAATAGCAATGTAGTGATGCTTCGCTTTACTATTATGATAGGTAAATCTATAAATTCTTCCCCTTTAATCGTAGAACGTCCGGTTTTGACACTGAGCTATGAGGCGGGCTCGGGATCTAGGAAGCCTGAGCCTCGCAAGATACGCTCAAGCCAGTGAATCGCGGGCAGTTTGTCTGGGGACATTCACGAATGAGCAGGATAGGACTGCGATTCGGCGATAAGGAAGGGACAAAAATGAAGGTAACGTATATAGTACATCGTTGAAGGAACAGCGAAAAAAAACTGTGACGAATTTTCAAATTACAGCAATTAATTCAACAACCAATACATACCTTTCGTCAAAACCGTCCATACCATCATGGACCTCTCTCTACGTCTATAATCCCGAATATCTTCTTCAACCCTTCTAAATCGTTCAACTATTTGCGCACGATCGTCGTCGGCTGCAAGCCCAATACAAGGCCTAATCCAGAAAATCGTCAGGACGTATTCCAGCCTTGCTGAGGGGAGAAACTTCATCGACTAGTTCTGCAAGCCAGCTCGCCGTAACCCGTTGCAGAGCAGTAGTCATTTTCAATGTTTGGCGGGATGCTGTCCTTGTAAATTGAATTCGACCTGATCAGTTCCGGCGGGAGATTGATACCAAAAGAAACCGTAGCGGTGGTGGCAGAGAATAAGAGAAACGCTAACGCGGTCACGTGGTCACGTATGGAAATCCAGGCTTGAAACTTACCGCCAAGGTCGCTCGTTTACCGTACTCCTCTCTTTCTTCTCTTCCGATGCTTTCAAACCAAGGATTTTGTAGCATTGCTTAGCCCCAGCTCCTGCATTCACGCTCATGGTTCAGTGCTTGCAAAACCATGCAGATTGTCGTTACCAGTCTTGGTCGGCTACTTGGACAGGGTGCATGAGGGCGATGGTAGATTGAAGATCGGAGCGAATCGCAACCGAAGGTATGAAATCGGGGCTCGTTTTTGTACGCCCGTGGAGACCTGAGTCCAAATCGGGAGTCAGGACATGCATAACCTGATCTTGGTAGAATAACACTGTGGTTCCGAGTGCACAGAAGATGAGGGATAAAACCAGGATATTCACTCCGCTGATACTTTCTTCTTAGCTCAGTTGGTAGAGCGCGTCACTAGTATTGTCCATCAATGTGATCTGATTGATCTATGAGGAGGTTAGTCGTTCAAGTCGGCTAGAAGGAAGTGATTGGTGAAGTACGTTTGCCTTGCATAGTTGTATTAGTTGTTTTTTTCCTTCGCTCACTACAGTATATCCTATGTATTTTTAGTTATATGTGTTCGAGCCTAGGCGCTCAGTATGTAAAAAAAACATCGAAATCGTGCCGTGCCGTGCCGGTGCCGCTGACCAAGTGAGAATCCACGTGCGGTTGCAGTATCGGTTGTAATTTTTCGTTTGTGCCTCTCCATCGTCGTCGTGTCGGAGGCACTGTGATCGGTGAGTGAGCTACAAAGTTTTTTTCTGCTACATACTATTTATGATGTGGATGATGTGATGGATTGATTGGACCCAAGGGAGGTGGACGGACGATGGATGTGATGGTATCAAAGGATCAAAAGGAAAAAAAAGCAGGATGGACGTTGACTTGGACTTTTGTTTTGTGTTTTGTTTTTGACGTTCAGGATGCTAACGAGGCCTGTTGTTGGTAGAAATGACGGAATCTTCGCGACCAAATTCTCGACGTGGGTCTCCGTTGGCTTCATTGAGGGAGGGAACCAGTAGAGACCAGTCGAGGTCGCCTCATCAGAGCCAAAGCCAGTATCAGCAGCAGCAACAACAACAGCACCACCACCACCAGCAGCAATACTATGCATACCCGCCTCCACCGCCTCCTCCCGGAGCGCATATGTATGGCATGCCAGCTCCAGCGTTTGGAAATGGGAGTTGGGAACAGCAGCACCCGCACTATCCGCCTCCACCCCCGCCGCCTCACTATGGACATGGGTACCCACCAAACGGAGCCCCGCCGTACTCGTTCGCCTACAACGGCCCTCCCACAGTTCCCTCCTCCGCCCCTCCCGCGCCGACGCCCACGTCAGACTCTGGCCTCTCCGCCATAACCTCGAACCTCACCCCACACCCGCCCATCCCCGAATCCGAAATCATCTACACAGAAGACGCCGCTACCAAAGTCACCGACCGGATCCGTCGACGATGTTTTAATTGCTACACGAGCGATACGAGTACGTGGCGGAGGAGCAATATCGCCGTGGGCAAGGTGCTTTGTAACAAGTGTGGTTTGTTTGAGAGGACGCATCAGAGGCCGAGGCCGGAGCAGTTTCCGCACAAGAGGACGTCGCTGGGCGGAGGGGAACCGGGGTCGCCTACTAGTGCCACGGCTCCGATTCCGGCTAAACCGCCATTAGAGAGGTTCGGTGGGACGCCCTCTGAAAACCCAGGTAAAAGACTCAAAAAGCCGAAACTAGATCATCCGCACGAGCCGGAGCAACAGCAGCAGCAGCAACCGTTGCCCTCTGGCCTAGCGCATATCACGCATCCGCCCCAGCATCAGCCATATTATGGCCATGGCTCGCCATACCCAGACCAGGAGCATCCCCATCCCCATCCCCATACACAGTATTACAACAATCCTCCTCCCAATACCTACACTGGAGGCGCTTTCGGTGTTCCGTTGCAGTACAATGGCTATCCTGGTCCCAATCCCAACTCGCATCCTCCACCGGGCCCAGGTCCAGGCTACCCTCCCCCACAAACCCAAACTCAATATTCCCTTCCTTTGCCTCCTCCACCTCCAGGTCATCGAGGGGGCGCAGTCCCTGTAACGAACCTCCTCAATGGTGTCGATGGACGCGGAAGGGAGAGTACCAGCAGTGTCAATGGCACTCATGGGAACGGAAACGGAAACGGCGCTGTAGGGGGGACGAGCGCAGGTGCGGGTGACGCACAAGATCACCCACACACCCAAGATATCGCCAAAGCAAATGCCACGCCCGCGCCCATGTCCAAAGCCAAGTCCAAAAGCGGAGGTCCCAAATCAACCGCTTCCCGAAAAACTTCTTCCAATGCCTCAGCCTCGTTCCCTCCTGGGCACGGCCATACCCATGCTGTCGCCAATCGAACACAGTCGCCTGAATCTGTGTATCATTCCGCTCAAGAACAGGATGAGTTAAACTCAGATGATGGCGATGTCGACGGGGCTTCTGGATCCGGAGATGACTATCATGCTACCACAGACACGGAGGGAGATGACGATGATGGCAGTGGTGCGTATCGAGGGACGGGGGCGGGGAAGGCGGCTGCTGCGACGAGGGGCAGGAGGAGCACCAGAAGGAGCACAGGAGGTGGAGCATTGAAGAGGAAGAGAAGTGTGAGGGAGAGGGATGACTGAGTGAGTGTGCGTTCTTTCTTTCAGTTACTCGTTGCTTGCGTTTGAATCGTTCTTTTTCTTGCTGTTTCTGTTTCCTCGCTTGCCGCTTGCGTTCGTTGTAATGTTATATATGTTATTCTTTGCCCGCACTCCTCGTCCTCTACAATCCTCTTTTTTTACTACTGCTGCTTCGTTCTCCGCTCTTGCTTGTGTCTGTGTTGAATCCTTTTTCTTCATTCCTGTTGTCGTGTCTCTTTATTCGTAAAAGATACCTACATACATAACTATCTCGTCTCCGGTCTCTACTTACTATGTCCATTGTCCATGTCCATGTCCTTCATCTATCTGTATGTCACCCTCGCACAATCGTAGCGCGTATACGTATACAGTATTTATTGATTCAACGCTAAGTACGGAGTCTGAGCGAGTATTTTGCAAACAATTGAATGTATCAGGTACCCTTGGCCAGAGGAGGCCTAGGTGAATTTAGTGGATGGGTAAATGGAGTAATTCTCTTAGTCGTGACGGACTCGACAAAAAAAAAGAACACTTGGAACGTGTGCATTCCTTCTAGCCGACTTGAACGACTGACTGACCTCGTCATAAGTAATATATCACTGATGCCTATGTATACTAGTGACGAGATCTACTAATTAAGCTAAGAAGGAGGTAAGAAGCTTAAGGAGAGCGATTCGGTAGTACATAGGTATGAGGAGAGAGCACACATAATCCCAACAACTCGTTGTATGATCGGACCTCAGTATCGAAGAACAGCGAATACTGTACGAATCTGTACGAATATATGTATGTGCTATAGATTGGTCCGTACGGGCAACGGCTGTGTCACTTGGAAAATCCAAACAGAAAAAGCAATTATTCAACCTGATTCGGAGCCTGACTCGCCCATTTTCTACTGAGTCGCCTTCAATTATCCCGGGCCCACTGTAATCTGGTTTCGAGTCCTGAGTACTTTTTTGCGGCACAAGAACGCGTCTTCTTGACTGGAATAAGTGTCAGCGAAAGGGTATACGGTCAGCATGTTCCACCTCTACCAAATCCTTTTTAGCTCAGTGGGTAGAACGCGTTATAACGTATAAATCAATAATGTCCGCACACTTTAGGTCAGTCGTTCAAGTTGAATAGAAGGAATGCGCGATGAGCACTGCGCCTGCGACGCTTTCTTTTCTCTCTCCGGTTGTGATTATAATTTGTCTTTTAACAGAGGCCTAAGTACATAATACATTGTATATATATATAAAGCGAGTCCATACTAAGTACTACCAAAGGGAAGTAGCTGTGAAAGCGAGTCTGAACTTCAAACATCTTATCCAACGACTGTCGCCTAAACGCGATGGTGTCACTCAACACTCGAAGAAGTAGAAAACAATGCTTACTGATTGCAGGGCGACAAAGGTTTGAGCTAAGATACGACCGTTCATTGTGGCTCCAGTTTCCAGTGTAACGGCCGTCTTTGCGAGAATGACACCCTCAATGTGGGCGCCGGGATCGGCAGTGACAACACCAGCGACAACCCAGAAGATATTGGAAGCGAGAGCTCCTCCGACGAGAGTAACGCGGGCATTGGCCGCGACAGTGAGAGTTCCCGCAATTTGGAAGACAAAGACTTTTTGGTACAACGTCGGCAAAGATAGATGACAAGGGGAAGCTCTAAGGACTTACCATCGGCAGAGGTCCCACTAATGGTGACACCAGCAGAGCTGATGCTGACTGCTGAAGTCCATTTGTAGAGTGCAGGTGTCAATACAAGGCCACCGATTGAACCTGAAATCAAGTAAGATCCACTAAAGACATATAATCAATAAACACAAACCAGCAGCAAGGTTGAAGAACCCTGGATTTATAAGACCGTTTGCATTGGTGTATGCTGTCTGCATGTTTGAGATGGCAGTCGTCAAGGTCACGGGAGTAGGAGCTGCATAAGATGCAGCGAAAAGTTCGCCTGTGACCTGGCTCGAGGTAGAAAACGCTCCGCCTGATGCAAGAGTGAGCGCAAACCCAGTCAAAGCATTCGCTGCTATAGGGCTAACCCCAATATTTCCAACTATATGGTGTTGAGAAAGAAGCCACAAAAACACAGCACCATCGGCTCACTTATGGAGGATGGGGGAACAGTTGAAACGCCCGACTTGGAAAGAATAGCATAATTAGCTGCGGTGCCGAGGACAATGGGTGCTGGTCCTAGATTGATGGCTCCTGGTGCTGCTCCTACACTGAGGAATGACACCTGAAAGTAGCCTAAAGGTCAGGATGTAGGAAGATAAACCAAGCAATGAAGTAAAGCTTACCCAAAGGCTGAGATAAACAATTTTGTTGAGGGTAGAAAGCATTCCAGAGAGCTAGCCAAAGGCGAGGATGCTAAAGGAAATATTCTACATGAGTGCTGCTTTATACATCTGACATTGCAAAATCTATTTCTCAACCTCGTCATAGTTCAGCATCTTGCGAAAACAAGTATTTTGAGGCACTAGAGACAGAAGACAACCAAAAAAAGCCCTGAGCAGAGTCACAGCCATGTTCTCCCTAATGCATAGTTTCTCGACTCCAGCTGTGATGTGTATAATGCACACGACGGCACTGAAGAGGCGGAACGAGCCAAGCGAGAGGGACGGCTGCAGTATGGTTACTCTTGCCAGTGGACGAGGTTGTTTCTGGGGGCAGTGAGAAAGGACGAAAGTCTGACAGAAGAGGAACGTCAGTCCATTCACGTCTAACAAAGATAGAGACTATTTGGAGACTATCAGAAAAAGGATGTCGGTCAATTTGGTCTGTCAGCGTCAGGTACTGGACCTGGTAATATTCGTTGTCGTTTAAGCAAGCCATTTTGTAAATAAAGTT